GCCATAGAATAATAAAAGGTATAATACATTGCACACAGTATAAAGGATAAAAGAAGATAAGAAATAGGAATAAAAAATGTTAATACAAATTGTAAAGGCATACTTAGAACAACCAAATATAATGTAAGAAATTTATAAAAAATTATAAAAAATTAAACAAATCAAAATCTGTATTGAGACCATGTGGTGTAAGGGTTTAAAGTCTGTACACCCATTCCATTTCATTTTTACCCAAAATATTTTTAATATTACCACCTCTCCAAGGGGTCATGCATTTCTTTATTCCAATACATTTCAATAACTTAGGATCTTTATTGTGCATAATAAAATGTTTGGATACTGAATGATTCAGATATCCATTTTTAATATTTCTGCAGTGTTCGCTTAGACGCGTTTTTAAGCACCTTGTGGTCATTCCAACATATTGGAGGCCACAGGGGAATTCAAGCAGATATATAACATTTTTGGTAGAACAATTAATAAAATCACAGATTTTATAAACCTTATTAGTCCGTCTTGACATAAATTCAACAACTTTGTGAGGGACGGCTGGGTCAGTAGTTCTGCAAACTATGCACATTTTACATTTATAGTAACCTCTTATATGGGGGAACAAGGTAGGGGGAAGTGTGGTAGTTTTTTCTTTGGTGAAATTATTAGTTAGTATTGATTTGAAATTTTTTGCTCCTCTAAATATTATACTTGGACGCTTTGGTATGATTTTGTTAAGAGTTTCATCTTGTTGTAAAATATGCCAATGTTTTTTTATGATTTTTTTAACTTCATTACTTTTGTTGTTAAAGTTAAAAATAATAGGTAAGGACATAGATTCGTCTTTGTTTTTGGGTTTGTATTGTAAAAGTTCATTTCTGTCACTATCATGAATATCCCTAATGGTATTATCAAGTTCCATTTCTGAATAATTCTTCTCAACAAATTTATCTTTTAGTATCTTAGCTTGTATATTAAAGTCACTTAATTCTGAGCAGTTTCTCCGTAGTCGTAATATTTGACTTTTCGGAGCGCTGTCTAACCAGGGCTGGTAGTGACAGCTACTCTTATCTATGGCGGTATTCACACACACTTTTTTAAAAAAACGTTTTGGTGTGTAATTTACCATTTTTTATAAAAATATCAAGATCTAAAAAATTAATTTGTTCCCTGCTGTATTCGTAGGTGAGGATTATACCCCTGTTATTTGTGTTGAGATTAGTAATAAAAGAATTGAGATCATCCTCGGAACCCTCCCAGATAAAAAAGAGGTCATCAATATACCTAAAAAATGAAACTAGGTTTGCTCTCCAGGCATGCTCACTAAAAACAGCTTCAGATTCCCAGTCGGACATAAAAAGATTTGCATAGCTGGGAGCAAACCTAGTACCCATGGCTGTTCCTCTTTTTTGTAGATAAAAAGAATTTACTGAAACGCAAGCGTACAAACAAAATTCTATACTGATTCAAAGTAAAATTGAGAAAGTCGAGATTGAAACAAAACATATAAAAATTAAAAAATACATAAGGGACAAAATGGATTATTCCAACAAACAGGTTAGGACCTATCATCTGAATAAGAAATACACTTCACAACACCCACTCCAGAAAAATAACTATGGAAGAACTAACTTTCACCGTGAAACTAAACACTATGAAAATTCTGAGATAAAATACCAGTCACACTATCATCAAAACGTAAGGAAACCTTCTTATTCACCACTAAACACACACACATACAGAGCACAAACTAATTACCATCGTGGCCCTCCACAAAGAATTCATCACTCTAACACCAATCAATATCGTTCATTCCCTCCATGTAACCGACACAATTCATATCGAATGAATCACAAAATCCCGTCATCACCAATACATCACAATATAGCAGGACCTCAATACAAACACTTGTCTCCTAAACCTCAAAGATCGAAATATATTAATGATCACAAAGAACACTCTAACTACTTTAAGTCACCTACGATTCCTCATCATTCTAACAGATACCAACTACTGTCAGTAGACTCGGAATTTGAAAATGAGGATCATTTTTTAGAAATCCGAACACATCAAACGGCATTAGCTCAAACACCACATCCCTCACGATCAAGAAAAAGGATTTTAAATTTAGAGGAAGAAGAAGTGGGAGACGCGAACAAACGAGAAAGACTAGAAAGATAATAGCTCCCCCTACTAGTAATGGTAACGGCATTTTTAATCTTTCACAGAAAATTTTAACAAGTGCTCAACTAGCAGTTTTAACCAAAGGTCTTAAATTTGCCCCTACCAATACTTTTAAACCATTTGAAGCTTTTATAGATGTCAACAAATTTGTTCGGAAAGCAACTCTTAAAAGATTTTTTATTGAAAAAAATGAGGACAATTTTAATCAAAATCCTATTCTATCTCCTCCATTACTCTCTCAAAATAACTCTATTATTAACACAAATCTTAGAGAGAAATCTGTTTTTTATCCTGCTTATTTTAAATCTGCTCCTATTACTATGTTTGAAAAACTGGTTATAAAAGATCTAGAAAAGATTAAAAATACTAAATATGACCCTCAGAATCTCACGCATATAGAGAAGCTATCATTAAAGGAATTGCAAGATGATGTAAATATTGTTATTAAGCCAGCTGATAAAGGTGGAGGAATAGTCATTCAATCAAGTCAAATGTATATAGAAGAAGCACACAGGCAATTAAATGACACGACTGTGTATGACAAACTTCCATCAGATCCAATTAAACACATACAAACTATCCTCACCCAATTTTTAAACAAAGGTGTAACCCTAGGTATTTTAAACAAACATGAATTCAATTTTTTAAACATAAAATTTCCTGTGACCCCTGTTATATATTTCCTTCCTAAGATCCATAAAAATGACACCTTCCCACCGGGGAGACCAATAGTGTCTGGTATAGGTTCTCTTCTCTGTAATCTATCACAATATATAGATATTCTCTTACAGCCCTCAGTCAAATGCATGAGATCCTATCTTCAAGATTCCATGGCTCTTTTAAAGTTTTTAGATGATTTTACATGGAAATCTAATTTTATACTAGTCACATGTGACGTCCAATCACTATATACTATTATCCCCCATGACATAGGCTGTCAAGCTGTAAGAGATACCCTAACCAGAGAAGGTAGAATCCCTGATGTACAAATTGATTTCATCTTAGAAGGCATTAATATTATTTTAAAGAATAATTATTTCTGGTTTTTAATTCTTTTTATCTACAAAAAAGAGGAACAGCCATGGGTACTAGGTTTGCTCCCAGCTATGCAAATCTTTTTATGTCCGACTGGGAATCTGAAGCTGTTTTTAGTGAGCATGCCTGGAGAGCAAACCTAGTTTCATTTTTTAGGTATATTGATGACCTCTTTTTTATCTGGGAGGGTTCCGAGGATGATCTCAATTCTTTTATTACTAATCTCAACACAAATAACAGGGGTATAATCCTCACCTACGAATACAGCAGGGAACAAATTAATTTTTTAGATCTTGATATTTTTATTAAAAATGGTAAATTACACACCAAAACGTTTTTTAAAAAAGTGTGTGTGAATACCGCCATAGATAAGAGCAGCTGTCACTACCAGCCCTGGTTAGACAGCGCTCCGAAAAGTCAAATATTACGACTACGGAGAAACTGCTCAGAATTAAGTGACTTTAATATACAAGCTAAGATATTAAAAGATAAATTTGTTGAGAAGAATTATTCAGAAATGGAACTTGATAATACCATTAGGGATATTCATGATAGTGACAGAAATGAACTTTTACAATACAAACCCAAAAACAAAGACGAATCTATGTCCTTACCTATTATTTTTAACTTTAACAACAAAAGTAATGAAGTTAAAAAAATCATAAAAAAACATTGGCATATTTTACAACAAGATGAAACTCTTAACAAAATCATACCAAAGCGTCCAAGTATAATATTTAGAGGAGCAAAAAATTTCAAATCAATACTAACTAATAATTTCACCAAAGAAAAAACTACCACACTTCCCCCTACCTTGTTCCCCCATATAAGAGGTTACTATAAATGTAAAATGTGCATAGTTTGCAGAACTACTGACCCAGCCGTCCCTCACAAAGTTGTTGAATTTATGTCAAGACGGACTAATAAGGTTTATAAAATCTGTGATTTTATTAATTGTTCTACCAAAAATGTTATATATCTGCTTGAATGCCCCTGTGGCCTCCAATATGTTGGAATGACCACAAGGTGCTTAAAAACGCGTCTAAGCGAACACTGCAGAAATATTAAAAATGGATATCTGAATCATTCAGTATCCAAACATTTTATTATGCACAATAAAGATCCTAAGTTATTGAAATGTATTGGAATAAAGAAATGCATGACCCCTTGGAGAGGTGGTAATATTAAAAATATTTTGGGTAAAAATGAAATGGAATGGGTGTACAGACTTCAAACCCTTACACCACATGGTCTCAATACAGATTTTGATTTGTTTAATTTTTTATAATTTTTTATAAATTTCTTACATTATATTTGGTTGTTCTAAGTATGCCTTTACAATTTGTATTAACATTTTTTATTCCTATTTCTTATCTTCTTTTATCCTTTATACTGTGTGCAATGTATTATACCTTTTATTATTCTATGGCTTCTATCCATACTCAATATTGTTCATATATTACTAATATTTCTTCTTTTTACTTGTTATATTTTTATATTTTAACTATTCCCTGTTCAGCTGCAGCTTTGTGCCAGCCGACAAGGTTTTTTTGTTTTTTTTTTGTTTATGGTTACTATGACGACGGCTGCAGCATTGTGCGAGCCGCCGTCTATACTTCCGGTTTCCTTTGAGTGACGGCGGCAGCAGCTCTCGTGCATGCCGCCGTCCACTATAACCCCGCCCCCATCTATTCAGTCAGCCGCAAGAGCTGCGTGCTGACGCCGCCTCTCCCCCCTTCCCTCACGAAAACGCCGGCGGCTGCGCTGTGCACGCCGGCGTTTTACTACATGTCCCAGCATGCACTACGTTCTCTCTCCCGATCACGTGATCGGCAAATAAGCTCTCTATTTATTTATATAACCCTCGTTTTTTATGCATATTTATGCCATATAACCCCTTATGTCATACACAATACTAGTATGTTATATGTCACCAGTTATGTTTCTGTTTTAATTATTTTATTCTTATCTTAACTGTGATTGGCTGCTCATTTTTTGGCGCCAATTTTAACTGTTTTTAGTTGTTATATAAACTATTTGATGCCAGTGATCAGGTTCCTACTCCATATTGATAACGCTGTGTTGGCGAAACGCGTTTATGGACATTACTCTGTGTATTTTTATATATTAAAAGTTTATTTGGTTACTCTTTATTTGTGCCATATATCTTTATATACACATTTATTTATTTCGTGACCTGGCATCTTCTCTACATCCCGGACTCCAAGCAATCCTAGGTGGGGATTATACCACCAGCGCCTATGTTTAAGAGCAGTTGTTCTGCTCCCGTCTTGTGAGTACCCATTTTTTATGTTATTTTATTTTATCTAAACTCAGTGTACACTATTGGTTGTCTCTTTCTATTTGAGTACTGGATACATCGCTAACGGAGGAGACTCACCGTATATCCTGCAAGCGGGGATCATACCGCTGAACGCCTTCTATACCGGAGCGAGTTTTACGCTCTGGTAAATGTGAGTTTTTATTTCTATTTTCTATTTTTTATTATTCTTTTTTGTTTTAGCATATTGCACTATTTGGGTCTCTATTTTTATTCTATTTTACATATACCTATGGACTCCTATTGAGGATTATTCCAAGTATCATCGCTCTGGATCAAGCCCACATAGACTCTACGATTACGACAAGACTTTTCTAGATAAGACTTTCTTATATATTTATATTTTCATATTTATATTTTTATATTTTTTTTACATTCTTGGACTATTTGTTATTTCTAGTTTCCTTTGGCGCAGCCCTTACCTTCTTTTTACTTTTTTCTATTCTGGTCACCTGTCTAGGATAGGGTGGCATCCATGACTTCAAACTAGTTTCATTTTGGTCCGTATATTTAATCTCTAGGTCAATCGAAGTTCTCAGCTTATTCCCCATATGTACCACGTACCGTCAAAGGTACCATATAGCTAGGCAATTAAGGTCTTTCTTATCAGTTGTTGATTGTTCTACGTTTCTGGCATGTATCTATTTTTGCCCTCTTTTATTACAGGCCTACCCCTGACGTCGGTTCCGGCACACCTCAACCGACTTTTCCCCCCTTTACTATGCTACTCTTGGTACGCTTCCTATATGGCCTTATTTGCCCCTCACACAAATGCAAAGGCTTGCCCTGCAGTTGTGGGAGAGGCATGTTACCCTACTTAAACCCCCCTACTCACCTTCCTCCGTCCCGTACGTGTTTTTAGTGATTCGCATGTCCCCACCCTCCACTCCCTCTATCTATACTTTTCATACACCTCATGGGTGGGCCCTCTTTTATTACAGGCCTACCCCTGACGTCGGTTCCGGCACACCTCAACCGACTTTTACCCCCTTTACTATGCTACTCTTGGTAAGCTTCCTATACGGCCTAATTTGCCCCTCACACAAATGCTATAAAGATGGTCGAGAATATGTTGAAAGATTTGGCTCCCTGTGACTTTTGGCTTTTCCCAAAACTAAAATTATGTTTGAAAGGGAAGAGATTTCAGCCGTCGAGATTCAGAGATTCAGGTAAATATGATGAGGAATATCATATGTATCCCAGATTGTGTATCTTGTATTTCCAAATATGATGAGGCGGCTGATGGCAATTCCAAAAAAGGATTTTGTTTTGAACAGTGGAAGAGATGCTTGGAGAACTTTGTAAGGTCCCAAAGTGCCTACTTTGAGGGGGACTGAGGTGTTATTGTCCTGTGGACAATGTTTCTTGAATGTTGTATCTTCTTCATAAATTTCTCTATTTTTCATATTATATGGCTGGATACTTTCCGGACAGACCACATATATATATATCCCCTATCCCATATTACCATAATACATACCCAAGACACACACTGCATCATAAAAACACACCTTAGCTCAGACACAATACATTTCCTACACACCCTGCACACAGGCCGCATCACCAGCAAAGCAGTAAATCTCCAAGGATGGGTCTTTAGGAAGGAGACACCAAATTACCATATTTTTCCATGTATAAGACTATGTTTTTTTCTAAATTGTTTTAGTCTAAAATGTCACTGTCATGGAACGTCAATGCAGGGGTTAAAGATGTGTGTGCGGCCTTAGGCAAGATGGCTTACAGGAACTCTCCACTGCCCAAATACAAAATAAATAATAATCACTGTTTACTAGATATACCTGCATGCATTTTTTTTCATTGGTTAAATCTAAAAACAGCTTTCAAAAACTGTAGATCTCTTGTCTGCTGCCTTTGCAAAGCCTATTCTTCTAACCCCATCCAGACTTTATGTGACTGTTGAATCACAGACTTCCCAATAAGACTGTCACTGCTCAATGCGAAGTCTTTGCAATGCAAGTGCTCTGGGCAATTGCTGCCTTTTGAGTTAAGTGCAAATAAGCTAACCAAACCAGGAAGTAACAGGACATGTCTGCTTGAAAAGACAAAATGTAACCAGGTTAATTTATAAGAGTGTCATTTCTATTGAAGTTTGCACTATTACCGAAATGAACAAAACAGCTTTTTAGTCCTCTAGGGGGTCTGGATTGTCTTTTTAATTGGATTGTGATGTCAACTAATAAAACAATATACATCTGAAAGAAAACATAAGATCACATGACAAAAACATTTGAAATAAGTAAATTGATTTGCAACAGTTTAATCAATGGTGTACTTTCTGGAGAAACTATTTTTCCACTTTCAGCTTATTTCTCAATGGGACACACAAAAACAAACAAACCGAAAAAAGCTGGACATAAAACTACCTCCTGGCATCAATTATCTTCCTGTATTCACATTCCCCCTTTGGTGCCTCAGTGCCCTTGATGTGGCACTCATTTATCTGCACAACATATATTCATGTTAAAGCCCTATATAATATGCATGCTGTAACGTGTTTAGATTTTGCAGAAAAAAATATATTTTGTAAGATATTTGTAAGCTGCTGTTTCCAACAAGAAATCCACTACTTAAGAGGACACTATAGTCACCAGATCAACTACAGCTTAATATAGTTGTTCTGGTGAGTATAGTCAGTCCCTGCAGGCATTTTCAAGTAAACACTGCCTCAGATGGCTACTAAAGGTGCTTAATGGGCCAGTGCTGCTAAGTGTGCAGCATTGCCATTCAGTGTCTCCACGCTATGCATGGAGACACTAAGTTTCTCTCAGAGATGCATTGATTCAACACATCTCTTTGACGAGGAGCTAAGTTGACCAAGCCGGAGTGTGGCCTCGCTCCCATCCCGCCTCCTTTCAGATTTTATCCAATCAAATGCTTTCCCTATGGGAAAGCATTTGATTGGCTGAAATCTAACATTCTGATGATATCAGCATGGAGACAAATTTATTACCTTTTAAAAGGGCTAAGGGAGGGCAAACCACCTAAATGGTGGTTTTAAAACTATAGGGTCAGGAATACCCTATAGTGTTAAAACCACCATTTAGGTGGTTTGCCCTCCCTTAGCCCTTTTAAAAGGTAATACATTCTTTTTAATTAGATTATGATGTCAACTAATAAAACAATATACATCATACAAAATATTACTATATACATATGAACACATATGCCTGGAGTGCTTCTTTGTGCACTCTATGCTGACAAATGATGGAGGTGGGCGTATTTTTAAATAGATTTTTGTTTTAGAAAATTCAATGCATTTCTATGACGAGGTGCTAAGTTGACCAAGCCAGAGTGTGGTCTCGCTCCCATCCCGCCTCCTTTCTGATTTTAGCCAATCAAAAGCTTTTCCATTTAGGTGGTTTGCCCTCCCTTAGCCCTCTTAAATGGTAATAAATTTGTCTCCATGCTGATATCATCAGAATGTTAGATTTCAGCCAATCAAATGCTTTCCCATAGGGAAAGCTTTTGATTGGCGTAAATCGGAAAGGAGGCGGGATGGGAGCGAGGCCACACTCCGGCTTGGTCAACTTAGCACCTCGTAGTAGAGATGCGTTGAATTTTCTAAAACAAAAATCTATTTAAAAATACGCCCACCTCCATCATTTGTCAGCATAGAGTGCACAGAGAAGCACTCCAGGCATATGTATTCATGGTCAAAATTCCCAGGTATCACCATGAACACATATGCCTGGAGTGCTTCTCTGTGCACTCTATGCTTACAAATGATGGGGGTGGCGTATTTTTAAATAGATTTTTGTTTTAGACAATCCATATTTTTGCTAACATTTGTGCTAGCACAATCAATAGATGATATGGGACCTGATGGAATGCACCCAAAGTTATTAAAATAGCTTAGTGGTGTACTAGCAAAACCATTAATAGATTTATTTAACCAATCATTGTTAACAGGAATAGTCCCAGAAGATTGGAAGTTAGCAAATGTTGTGCCCATTCACAAGAAAGGTAGTAGGGAGGAGTTGGGCAACTATAGGCCAGTAAGCCTTACTTCAGTAGTGGGGAAAGTAATGGAAACGATGTAAAAGGATAGGATTGTTGAACATTGTTGAATAAATAAAGCATAAATGCTATAGTCCACCCCCCCACCCCAAGTTATATCATGTGCCTCCCTCCCAATCCTCTTGCCACCTCCCTTAAAAAAAAATAGTGAGAGCTGAACAATTAAACTAATACCTGTTAAAAAAATATATACTTAGCTTTTTTTTCTAATTCTTTTTATCCTCAGCCCCAAAAAAGGCCAAATAAAAATGTATAATAACCAATGCAAGAAAAAAAATAAAAATTATTGCAAATAAATGGTGAAACAAATGTAAAAACGTAATGAAATAAATTAAATCCTTATTTTGCCCTGCCTGGGCTCGCAGGAAACTTTCCCACTCTATGTAATATCAGTAAGCTAGTAAGCTAACCAACCAGAGTGGTGCAACAGAGAAGATTTGCTTCTTTTTCCCCACTGAATATTATTTTTAGGGCCCCCAGCCGCCACCAATAGGTGGGACTGGGGGTACACTAGGTCCCCGAGACTCCCCGCTTATATATAATATCCCACACCAGCTTACCCTATTAGAAAGTCCCTATACACCATACACAGCCACTATGCCCCACAACATAACAACATTTAATGGAGTCGGTGAGCACCATAGCCCCTATCTCCCCACAACAGCCAC